CGATTGGCCGTGGCCATTACCAGTCCTGTGCAACCTGACCTGACCTGACCTGACCTGAATTTGCTGCAGGCGGGAGGTTTGATCTTCGGCGGTGCATCGCTACCACGCTCCGTTGTGTGAGTAACCTTTGTCAGAGATAGCCATGGCTCAAACAAGCTGCTGTCCTTATTGTTTGCAGAAAGGGGTTATCAATCCTCTACTCACTTTAGAATCGTCATCAGGAAAACTGCAAAATTTATGTGCCGACCCGTTCTGTCGATATCCTTTTTCGAGTTACTCAGCCCTTCCTTATTCCGTCACTCTGCGTTCCGCTGCCGAATCTACGAATCCAGCCAAGGCAGCCCCTGAAATAGATTGTTCTTCGATGGAAGAATTTCTGGCTGAGTTGTGGGACTCTAAAAACGAAGTAGATCTAGATGTCACTTCCGGTGAACCGAATGTGAAACATCCCCAGCCTGTTAAGAATACTTCGGATCTCCAGTCGTCTAACAAGTGCTCAAATACGCGCCTGGAATTCTCAGAAAAATTTTCCGATGCATTTGATTCCGAGTTGGGGTTATCCCCTGAATGTCTACCTTCTGTGCCGTCCAACGTTGCCGACAGTTACATGCTTCCACGATACTTGGCGGACGACATAAAGCGGGGTAGGTTTCCATGGAGCCAGAAAAGGTGGGCTTCTTTTTCTCTGTGTGCTTAACTTATTTAACGAGTTTTTAAAAAAGACTAAGACTGGTAAATTGGCTCGCTCATTTGTCGATAGTAAGTTGTCTAAGTAAGTGAACGTTTTTGGTGGTTATCAGCCCCTGTTCAATCTGTTTTTAGCTTTGCTTTGTTTGTTAAACCTGAGCTTGGTTTTCTGTTCAATTAAGACTATCTAGATCTTCATTCAGCTCGAATTTCGCTCTTAAGCTTAGGAATCAATAGTTAAAACTTGTGTCGACGCCTTTTTTTGTTGCGAGATAACTCTGACTTGCGATCTGTAAATGGGTTTGCATAACGGGCGAGGGTTCGCGTCGTTTCGTGAAATTCGCTTGGACTCCTCGTGTTCCACACGCGAAATTTAATGCGAATGATTACAAAGTTTGGAGATGCGATGATAAAGGGGCAGCCACCTTATGGTAGTGTTCAATTACATTATTAGTGTCTAGCTGAACAAAGTTACTAGGTCTGATTGATAGTTAGATGTGGTGTGCCGTCTGCATCTCACCAACGTGCGGCTGCTGTCATATGCGTAGATAGACAGGACGTCTATTTAGCTATCATGCTTGCGCAATCCATGAATGGCCGTTGTCTGATTTGTGCTATTCTGGGTGAGAATGGCAGGGTGAAAAGGTGAAGTGTTTAACTTGGTGTTATATTTCACACTCGCCGGGGTTAAGAGTGTGCCAAAACACCACGGTGCTATAATCTTTGATGGACGGATGCTGCCAGGCTACCCGGGCCAGGTGAATCTTTCGGGAAATCACAAACGAACTGTCGGCTAGCCAAAGCCTGACCCTCAAGACGGCGGGGCGGTGTACGAAACCCGCAATCAATTGGTGGCCGGTGTCCTGTTCATCAGATCATGCCTTTTTGAACTGGGTCAAACGTTCGAGGTGCCCTATGCACATGAGTGACCAATCGAGCCGATNATGACCATTGCCCACGCGCCTCTTAATGATTGGTTTTGAATCAGGTGATGGTGGCGTGCTTTGAACCCTATGGTTCAATTTGTTTGGCATACAGTTTAACTCAAACGTGATTATATATATATATATATATAATTATATATATGGTTCGAGGTCTGAGCCCAGCCACCACCACCTCTCTTTGGCGGTAGGCAGCTTTACTGTCGTCCAGTTTAATATCACGCCTAACCTATCGGGGCCTCGAGTGGTTCGCCACTCCAAGTCCCGTAGATTAGGTTACCGGTTTCCACCATCGAATAGCATGTCCTTGTGACCATGAGGTCCACCTCGTCTGCTGTTAATCACACTTGGGTGTAATAAAAATATTATTTAGTCACCCCCAGATGAACTGTAATTGGTTCATCGACCCAAATGTTGGCTTTTTGTCACCACTTCGGTGGGCAAATAACGGGAAGGCCTTGACTACGGCTTCCTCAACAAGGGCTGTTTCAGACGGTCGTATGGAAGGATTTCTTGAGGTGCAAACCAAGATACCCACCCCTGACCATACTGAGGTTTTCGGAGGACAGTCCATTGGAATTACTAACCGAGAACGATTGTTAGCGCAGTACACGCGTAATGCTGTATGTTCACTTTGTATAAACCATCACAACTGCGTGGCCAACAGTGAAAAAATTCTTACCTTGAGGGTTACGTACCTTTGAGAAATGAATGAATGAATGATAAGAGTTTTACTATGTTAGCATTGTCATCTACTACCCACTAGTCTGTATCATTACAATAGTTTGTAAGACGTCCAGTCGTACACAGGTTTTGCTCGACTATAGTTCGACGTGCTGCTGGATGGTTCGAATAAAATTTATTACACCAGAATGTGATGAACAGCAGACGGGGCGGACCCTATAGTCACGAAGACATACTGTTCAGTGATGGTAACCGGCAACCTAAGCTCCGGGACTTGGAATGGTAAACTACATAAGGCTCGGATAGGTCAAGCATGGTATTGAACAGGACGACAGCAGAGCTGCCTACTGTCGGTCAAATGTCATGGACTAACTAAGTCAGCATTACAGGGCTTGGGCGTGTGGGGCGATTGAGTTTGAAACTAAAATGCGCTCTGTCCACAGCCTTCAGAAAGGAAAAGGTTATGCACGCCTTTGGAGGGCTGTTTTCTAAATATTTAGCGATGGATCAAAACTAGTTGTGATTAAAAGATAGCGGCCAGAATTTTTCAACCATCGCTGCTTATGTGTTTCGATTCACGTGGAACGGGGTGAGCGGGTTAGTAGGCTGGAGATGTGTTTGGGAGCTTATCTGGGATAAATTTGTTAGGGCATCGAGTTCAGATCAGTAAGCTTCACTAGCTAGCACACGTATTGCGTATACCAAGCTGCCGTCTACCGCACCGCAAGTTATTTACTGTAGCTTCTCGGGACTTTAGGAAACCACGTGGAGAAGATGTATGAAGAAATTCACAGCAATTTGATGGAGTAGGTGTCTCGCGCCCTCCAGATTGGGGTCCGAAAGACTATGCGACGGGTTGATTGGAGACACTGAAGGATATGGCAGTTAACTGACTGCAGTGGTGTTGTTTTATCTAGCCAGAATACTTGAAACGGTATGCACAGTTAGATAGTGTAATCTGCGTGTTATCCACAGAGATTCACTTTCATCCCCCTCAAAATAGGTCCAATGCCTGTTCACCTTATGTAATAAAACCAATCTTGTGTGCATCGCGAGTTTTGCAACGATCAGCGAAGTTCGTTTCACTGTACTATGGTAAATGGTGATTCGTTTTACCCACTAAAAGCCCATTGTGTTTTTAGCTTTAGTCTGTCAAAGACTGTCTGGTAACTTCAGCAGTTATCACTGCAGTGCTAAATGATATTGATGAGTAAAAATGACAAAAGATTGTCTGGCGATGCAGTCACATTGTCATGATCTAAAAATGAAACTTTCGGTCGTAAAAGGAAATGCCTGTTCCGCTTTACTGACTTCCTACTTGTTTTGGTTTGGGCGTCTTGATGGTGGTGCAGTGGTCAGGTCCCTATCACCGGTGTGCGTTTGGCTCTGTGGTCCGAGGTTTGACTCCCATCACCGTCACCCAGCTTTAGTGGGAGGCGCCTTTGCTGTCGTCCGGTTTTTTCACTTTTACTTCCTTTTATTGGATATACAAAGATACAATTTTCAGGAAGGGGGGAGCAGCCAATCAAAGGGCTTCCATAACACGCCTAAATTAGCGGTTATTATGCGGTTCGCCACTGCCTGCCTTAGGCTACCGGTTCCCATCACTAAACAACAGGTCTTCGGGCTATGTGCTCCGCCCCGTCTGCGGCTCATCACGCAAGTGTGTAATAAAATATTATTGTGTCCACAACCGAATGATGAACTAATCTTGCCTCGAAGTTCTCCGCATATTAGTCCGGAGTTAGGCAGGTGTGAAGTAGTAATAATTATCATTGGTTTTCTCGAGATATTCCTGGAACGACAATTATGAGCGAGATTAAAGAATCATCATGGAAGTCAGTTTACTCTGCTCTGGCTGTTATGTTAACAGTATTCGGATTCAGCTATTGTCTTTCGGCTACCCATTCAGTCGACCAATAGGCGAATAAGACGAAGAGTTAGCACGCATGCGCTTCACGGTATACGACACAGCCATATCACTCAGCCTCAAATCGTTAATGAGGATTGCCGCACGGTCTCCAACCTGGAACCGTAATGCTAATTTTTTGACCAAGTCCCCTAGTTGAACACCAGTAGCCTGTTTGTGTTCCTCGTACAATGACCGTACATTAGTCTGGGCCACAATACCGGTTTCATAATGGAAATATTGTTTTATGCTGCACTTCAAAAATGATTCCAAAATGCTGGGACAAACAGCGTGCTTGAAACAGATAATCCAGTGATTTTCGCATTTTCATCACCATCCCAAAGCGGAATGAGATTAATTCGAAATCAATTGAACATCAACTTGATGAGCGACTACACAACCGGTATAATCACGGTGGAGCATAGAATTGAAAGTATTCATGAATGAAGGAAGTTATGCACACTACATTTCACAAATTTTTAAGTGTTCTTACTGTCGAACTAACTTGCACTTCTCGTTCCCTTTTTTACAGCGGCCAGTAGTTACCAGAGCAACACCTATCGACACTCCAGTCCGGTTCCACACAAGTCCATGCGCGATACACACAAAAGCTGTGATAGTGGCATCTCGGTGACTTCAAATTCGACCTTCAATTCAGCATCAACAACCCTAAGTGAACATGCTGCACAGATTCGCACTAGCATGGCCCCTATATCTTCGCCAACAGATGACTTCAACTCAGATCCTTCTTATAACCCCCCAACGCAATCACATTGTCCCCGACCGGTTCTGCATGTTGAACGCATGATCCATTTGTACAAAAAGCGTCTTGGTTCCGTAATGAATTGACAGACCGTTAGATCATGCGTTTGTGCTGCTTTTGCATATGTATATTTTTTATTACCCAAACTTGTTGTACATTACCAATGGAGGCTTAATAAACCGTTTGTATACAATATCTTCATCCTTATTGATGGTTTACAGGCTATCAGATTGCCACATGTGTACCTAAACTCAAAGTACCACGGTTTTTGTTTTCCAATTCCGCCTCCATTTCAACCTACATATATACTAGTTAGCTGAGATGTAAATGCTATTCTTCGTGGACAAATGCGAGGAAACGGCTTGGTAACCTTTAGGGGAGTGTGGAATACGCACTCCTCCACTTAACTTCGGTTTCCTGAAGGCGCTTCGTATTTCGTGCGCCCTTTGTACAGTTTTTTTAGGGCCACAGCCGTTATATAAATTCCCCAGTTAAAATGAAAATATACACCCCGGGACTGGCCCACCTATATCGTTCGCATTGTCCATCCTGAAGATCCGAATGGTCTCGACCGCATTTAGAAGCGATGGTATTTCTACTTTTCAAATTGTAACCTTTCAAAACTTGAGCATCCTAGCTCGATGCGAAGCCGATAGTTGAATCCCTTGTCGTTCCGTGTTTCTGAAGAGACAAGCTTCTTAGTTGTCATCTTTAGCGATGCCGTGATCTCCAACGGTTTGTTTAGCTATTTGTGAACGGTGGTCGGTTGATTCTTCTAAATGGGGCATAAACCTGTAATTCAAGAGTAAAATAGAATAGAGTTCTCAGTTTCTCAGCATTGCAATGTCATAATCAAGCGTCATGGCGGACAAGCACATGAGCGTATACGGGTTGGATTTATCTTTGAGTAGCCTCAACCGTACGCTGACAAAAGAGCTTGACAACCGTAAGTTTCGACGGTTAGGACATGTTTGCTGAAACCACTACCCTCGCAATAAATAGATAGCTGCATTGCAGTTCTTTAGTTCATTACTTCAGGTCCACAGCCAGCAGAGCTGTGTTCGTTTTTACTTTTTTCACATTTACATGATTATCTACTGCTAGAAAAGAAGTTTGCGCCGTGGATAAGGCGGTCAGAGGTTATCTCAGCACAGGTCGTGACCTAGTTCTGTCTTATTACCTTACCCCGTGGACCAATCAGAGACCTAGGAGCTCAACGTCTTTCTCGATGATGTTACTCCACGTTTTGATCTGTCCACCTAGGCGACACTAACCAAGAAAGGGATCAGGACCGCAGGGTACGGTCAAACCATCGCAACCGGTAGCTTGGGAGGAAGACTGACAGAACCTGCAGGAAAATGATTTATGGAATATAACTGCTATACATCGCAGAAATTTGATCATTAAGAAATTAGGATAAAGATAGACTGTCGGTGTTCGAAACATCACTGTCTAAGCGTCTTTGTAGGAATATGGTGGGGGAATCGGATAAACAATACGGCGCAGTTTTAGGTAATCGCGATCGCCCACTGGAACAAGTGGTCAACCTTCATAGATTACGTTGGTTAGGACTTCTGGTACGCATGTCACCAAGTAGTTTGCCACGCTGCGCAATGTTTTCCGAGGCAGGTAGTGAGGGAAAAAGACAAGGGAGGTTAAAATAAGACGTAACACAGGGGTAATAAAACCCTAACCAGGAGACTCACTCATATAGGTCGCATTAGGCTACCTAGATGGGGACCTCGGGATCATTGTAATCAATGGCTAGAGAAACAGTGATATGGCTGAGTGTCGTAAACAGCGGTGTTCGTACATCTGTCTTTGCAACCTTAGTCCACTGAAATTTTCCATTTTGTCTTAAACTCTACTTCCAACTTGGCTGTCTTTCTACTGCTTCATCCAATTGGCCGGCAAAGGACAGCAACCAAAACCGCCACACGAAAGTGCACGGGTAATGGCTGTACAAACTGTTGGTGGTTTCAACAGCAGTTGTACACCAAGAAATGGGGGTAGTCATACGTCAGTTTGTCTTTACCCTCTGTTGGTCTACTTGCAAGAGTAGTAGATCGAACATCACCTAAAAAGTAGCGCAACATTTTGCCACTTCTAAGTACAGGGTGACTGCCTCATCGTAGTCGAGCTTCTCGTCCCTCTCACCCGTGACCTTAAGCAAGTAAATTCCCTCTGACCCCTGACGCGATCTGATTGGATCATATTCCGCGAGCTGCGACGCCTAAAATATCTCACCCTAAACGAGACTGTCTGATTACCGGCTTGTACTTTTTGTAATGCTCTTGTTGTTAAGTTCAATCCATCCGAGTGTTGATGACGCTCCTGCCACACAGTCGAAGTTCACTGGGCCTGTTTGAGACTCTCGGCTGTAAAAAAGGTGTGGCTTCTCGCTCGGGTTAGCTGAGCAAGCACCAGGTCCCTTGTTGTGGCTGAACCATGCGATCGATCGATAAATCAACCCGATCGGTCGTGTGTCTCTACCAACACAGGCTGCATAGGATAGGTTCCGAATCCGATGCAGCCTGTGTTGGTAGAGAATCACCCCATGAGAATCAGTTGTGGAGCGGTGCGCCATGTGGGAAATTCCGAATGGAAAATGCTTACGCGATTATGACACGGGGACAACGCTTAACTCGTCTAAGATACACGCACCATTTTTCGAAGCGGGTTCAGTAAACAGATAATCATAATAAACTTCAAACTTGTCTTAATAACGGACAACAATATCCCCTAATGTGACCTTGGAGGCCATTCCTTTGGTCCTCCTCGGCCAATCCATCTGCAGTTGAATTCCGAGTCGAGGTAACCTC